TCTTCGGCCAATTCATATTTGTAGTTTTTCTGTGCCACACATTAATTTAAATGCCGCTATGCATTGTTGCTGGCGTGAAGGCGTGCTCGGTCCATGCTCAACGTCTTACGAATACTCACATATGTACTGCAGCTTGTAATCACAGCTTGTTGCACGATTGTAGTCAACAAACAAGGCGAGTCAGCAGCGAGCGGATGGACCCCCTGAAGGTTGTGAGGACAGCCAGACCAGCGCATAGCGCAGACAAAAGGCAACGGAGCTGCTCAAGCAGTCTTACTATGGAATCAACGGCAACAACTATTTATTTATTTATTTGAGTGCCATTGTTGTTGCCGCTGAGCTAGTGCTTTGGCTGGCTTGTTTAACGATTTTGTCTTTCGAAAATTTTGCATTTCATTTCGACTGCCAGCGCAGCTCCACATGTGTATGTGCGCAGTCGCCGGAGTCGTGTCTTGCTGATGCACAAAATATCTATTTTCCTAAGTTTATAACTATGAATATGCCTACCTGCCGCAACGCCAGCCAATGCAACGCTTCAACACTTGTCCATCTGCGGCGCGTACGCGTCTGCCGCGTTCTGCGCGGGTGATTGTGTGATTTAGTGGCACTGCTGTGCGGCCGAAGGAAAATATTACAATATATATTATATAATATGTAAATGCATTAAAAGAGTTTCAGCTGCACTGGTGAATGCTCCACTCACGAGCTCTCAGCAGCTTATTACCCACTTTTAGTTAACTATACTTTATTATTAATTTTTTCCGCCAGTAAATGCGGCAGCAAGAGTGAAAAATTAAAAGTGAATGCCAAAGCGCGCAACACAAGTGCGACCGCGTTGCCAGCTGTGCTTGAGCTGAGAATTTTTCACAGTTTCACAACGGCATGCACACACACGTGCAATTAGGTTTAGAGGTTCGCGTTTTGCACTTAGCGAAGATTAATGATTATTTATGTTTATTTAGCGTTTACATGGGTTTGTCGCGCGTTCAATGGCGTTCTTCGTGCGCAAGAGTTAGAAATATTTCGTTTTTAACATTTTCAATTAATTTTTTAGAATGGTTAAGGACAACCTCGAATGAATAGAATGGTTGCAAATACCCGTCAGTGTTTGCTTTGTAATAAATACAGTATACAGAGAATATAGAACAGGAATAGGAAGAAGTAACAATTTGAGAAAAAATAAATCTGAAAGCTCTTACTACCTAACCAAGTATATTCACGTTGTTTATTGCCATCATCAGAGCCACCAAAAGTTATCATACCAGCAGCGTATTTCAGTACACCGTTCTTATGACAAGCATATCTAACAAAACCCCTTTCTAAAGGCTAGTCTGTCGTTGACAACGTGCTTTTTGATTGCCTTCAAATTTTTTACGTCAAGTACTTTTATGGCTTTATAACTTTTTATGCTGATTGCGCAATCTTTCAGGAGATCTTCATTCACCTGAATCTAGAACGTCCAGTTAACGAAAGTAACGATAAAATTACAGAAAAAGTCCACCCGCCATTTGAGAACTGTTTCGACCCCCAAGAGCTAAACAGTGCACAAAAAACCATTTGGAATCATTTAAATAAGGCTGCTAAGCAATCGCCTACTTCCTTACGGCCAAACTCTTACTTCGGACAGCTTTGGCTGGTAGGAGAGCAATTGTGTTCCATCAGGACGACGTCAGGAGACAAACACCGATAGTGACTCAGCAGCAGCTCCGGCAGCTTGGGTCGGTAGGATTTTATGCATCTAACATCGACTGTCCCCGTTTTTGTCGATCGGAACGAGCATATCTATGATAGAAGCATTACGTAATTACCTTTAAAATGCTAACGACTATATGATACAGAAAATGTGATAAGTATAGATCATTGCACCCACTTACTTAATTATCGAAAATTCTGAAAAATATCGAGTTTTCCAATAGGGATGCTAGGATAGTTTGTGGTCTCGTGGAATCATCGGTCCGTACTTCTTTTGAAATGAAGCTGGTGACACCGTTACTGTCAATGGCGAGCGCTATAGATCGGTGATAACCAACTTTTTATGGCCGCAAATGGAAGTAGTTGAACTTGACAACAACTGGTTACAAGAAAACGGGGCTACATACCACACAGCACATGCAAAAACCGAATTATTGCGATCAAAGTTTGGAGCTTCGATAATTTCAGGAAATTGTGTCATTAAGTGGCCTTCAAGAAGTTGTGATTTAACACAATTAGACTATTTTTAGCTAATTATAGAAAAATGTAAACCATCTGCCTCCTCTCAAAAAGCACTTATTTAAAAAAAGTCACCAAAGCATAATAACCTAAGTGAGAAAAACTCAATCAAAAAGCATTGAAGCAGAAAGCAAAGCTCAAATTGCTAAAGATAAAAAATTCCGCTCGAAATCGAAATAAAACATGGAAAAGGCAAACAAACGTAAATTGGTGAGCAACAAAAACCGCAAATCACATAAATTATTGCAATAAACAAACATAATCGTAATAAAGACGATTTACGAGCGCAACTTAAAGCAATACAAGCATAGAACACACGCTCAAGCAAACAGCTGCACAATTATACAAGCAATGTAGATAGAAGCCGAGGAAGAGACACGCGCACAGGCAGAGAGACATAAGCGGAGCTTTATAAATACACGAGTACAAGACAGATACATGAGCAGTGAACAACGGCGGCGCAGAGGCAGCAAGGAAGCTTTGCTTAAACAAATAAATGTGTGTTTGTGCACATAAATAACAGCGGAGAAATTGCTTGGCTTAACTGGGTTGCCGGGAAGCGCGCGGGAGGGGGCACAGGAATGCCGGGAGTTCTTGATTGGAACACAGGTAGGGCAGTAAGGTAGCGCATACATGCTTCCACATATAATATACATACATACATACAGAAATGGTTTGTGTGTGAAAACGGTGCGAATTCATATGGGTGCTTTTGAGCGCCGAACTTCACTACGAGGCACTATTAGTTACTTGCATCTCACATTGCGAAAACCACTTGCCACAGACAACCACAAATCGGCGCTACGCGAAAGCAATACGAATTAATAAAAGTTGATATATGATCATGTGAATAACATGCCATACACACACATACATACTACTATAAATATGAGAAAGGGTGCACTGTAAGAAGTTGGCTGCAGTGAAATCCATGCTAGCCTCAAAAGTACAACGGCGGCCGAAGCAGGTGCTGCATGCAGGGGTCTGACTAGCTAAAATCAGCAGCAAACAATTTGTGAATTGCGCATGAAATGAAGTCGGCAAGAAGAGAGAGGCAAGAAAAAATCAACAAATACGCATGGAGATGTGCCTAGGTGTATTCTCATTTAACTAGCTGGTTGTCTACGCGCGAAAGGCGCTGGAAAAGCGCGCCCGAACAGGATACTCAAGAAACGTGGGGTGCGCGGAGAGCATCTACTTGTATGCATGTATGTATGTGTGTGTGTCGTGGGATTGGGCGCCAAGGCGACAGTGGCAATTTCACATCCGCTGATTGCTTTGTATGCTTCAGGCAATAAGTCATTAACCAAAAAGCAAATTCCGAGATTAGCTCAAAAACAAATATGCTAATAATATTCTGTATTTTTTTTTGTGTGTTTGTGCTTTGCATATGGCCGCAGGCAACCATGTCATTTGCGAGTGAAGGGAAGCATAGTCATATTTATTTATTTGCATGCTGTAATCATTACATGTGTAAGCACGCGCAGATTACAACTGCGAAAATATTAATAAGTATGTCAGCGTGTAAATAGTTGCCGGCAAAATCACTCCAACCTCCGCTAAAACTAATTTCAATGGATACCTATACAAACATATATTTATTCATGTTCGCATGAGCACAACATATGCTCGTGCGTGGAAATTTTCCTCGCTTTTGCTGACTGAGTTTAAGGAACAAAGTTTTAAATTGATTTTTGGCGTACAGAACTTTTCACTTAATGCGATTCCGTTAGTTTTGTTATCCACTTTGGGAAAATCTTGTATTTAGAAATGACATTTTAGCTCATTATTGTCAGAACGTGATTAATTACAGGGGAATGAATAGCACAGAGTGCTGTCAGTGCGTCAGTGCGTCAATGCGTTTGTAAAAATTACAAAGCAGAGAGTATATACAAGTAGTCGTTGGCTGTTGTAAGAAGCGAGTCGGTGAATGAATGTATTAAGGAATGCAGACATCTTATTTCGTCTAGTATTAACTTATGTCTTTAATGTCAAAAGAGTAAAGCGAGAGCTCATTAGCTATAATAAAAAGAAAAAAAAATATATATATCATATATGTATGTACGCATTCATATTCATAAAAAATTTTTAGCAGCATAATATGTATATACATATGTACTCGTATACATATACTATGCACACTATAGTGACTCATTACTTAATTATTGCAGATGTTTTGGCATAACATTGACAAATGTTCAATTCGCATGTGACACGAAAACTACAAAAGTTAATTCAAATATTTAAATATATAGTGCAAAGTCGTTAGCCTCTTAAACATATACGAATTGGTCGACGTACAATTTTTTGTTCACTCATCAAATCTAGAGAATTATAGTTATTTAACTTTGTAAACGTGAAATATCAATCTCACATACGTTTGGGATGCTCTACATTAAAACTTCGCCTCCGCAAAAAAGCTGTTGAGCGGACAGACCTTGATTGGATACAATTATAACTTCACTCAGGTTACATATGCTTTAATGCCATGAAAATGACAATAAAGTATTCACGCATAATACTAATAAAATTTGAGTTGATACGACGATTGAACTCTCATTGCCAAATATGTTCCTATAACTTGCCATTGTGCACCTTGGAGTAACCCGAATTCGAAAAAAATTTTATTTCTAACGGAGCTCATTTTAGATTATATTTTAAAAGATATTCAAAAGTGTGAAAGATTATAAAATATTTTGGCCAAACTATACTCATTCACTAATTAAAACTTCACTCTTAAAATTTTACAAAGCATTATGTTTCATAAAATGTTTTCCCTATATTTTTAGTGTTATCTCAACTGTGTTACTCCGCCAGATCCGGTACATGTAACCACGACAAGTACGACAACCACCGTACCAACAACTGCAGCAAATGTGGAACGGCGTCAGTTGCAACAGCAGCAACAACAACAACAACAATTACAAGCACAAACGCAGCAATCATCAAAAATTAATAAACCAATTCAGGAAACTTGGATGTTGCACACAGTTTCAATGTTGCAACAAGACTCATTGGTGCTCGTCGACATCGCTTGGGATGCATTGAATACGCCAAATCAATGTCTCATCAGCTGGGAGGTATCCGGTGGTGGGCTAATGGGCAATCTCTTGACCGAGTCGTCGATTGTGCAGTTATCACTGTGGCCGGACACAAAGTACCGCGTTAAGGTCACCTGCAAGAATAAGGTGAGTTGATGAGAAGTATAATACATTATTTTTTGTATAAAAATTATAATGAATCGTTAATATATAGTTACTTGGTGGAAACTTTCCAAGTAGCGCTGTTGACGAGTCAATTACGCCAAACGCGCTGCATGCCACATTACACTCAAGCACTTACTTTCGCTTCTGCGAATTTTAATAATTTTGGCAAAATTTTTACTAAAAAATTTCGACAAAAATTGAAAATAAACGTGCTTTCACAACCGGTGCGATGCATGTTTGCGATAAGCCAGCTGGTGTCAAGTGTGAGCCGCAGCTGCTCGTGGATGTAGCGTTAATTGAAAGACGTGGCAAACACCATTGAAAACGCTCGGTGCTGTTCACACAAATTGCCAACTGTGTAGGCGCGATAATAAATGAGTTTTAGCTAGAAATTTGAAAGTAATTAAATTTGTGAATGGCAATAAATAATTGGAATGCGAATTGAATGGCTGCCAGATTATTAGTTGCAGAATGTGAGGTAGTTGAATATACCGTTACTCGGTCTCTGAATAGTGGCGGAAAAGTTTTGATATGCAGCCAAAGCGAGAAGTGTCTGCAATGTAGAAACATTTGAACGAAATTTAATAAAGCTTTGAAATTGTAACCGATGAGACGTCTAATTAAATAATGAAAGAGGTTTTCCAATTTCAAATTCTAGTAATTCTTCAGACTGAAAGAAATCTCATATATAGCTATAAACCTCGTTCTCTCTTAGTACTCTGCTGGAATCGAATGTTAACCACAAAAAAGTTTGGACAACCTTCCTTAAAACTATTTTATGAATGCTTTCAGCGAATGATAACAAGCAAAGATGGAAGTCTTGCTCTTTGAAGCTGCGGTCGAAATCTCTTCTTATTTCCTTGACTAAGCATTATGATAAATATTCTCGAATAAGCTTAAAACCACTTCTGCAAGACGTGACTAATATTTGATATACAATTTCCTTTTTTTCTCACAGCTCACCGGCTTCATGTCCCGCTCGCTGCCACTGAACATTGACACGTCCGAAGCGGTGATGGCACACGAACAGAGTAGTCAACATAAAACACAAGCACCGAATGCCGATGCCACATTAATTTCCACAACAACAATCGATAGCAGAACATTACCAGCCACCAAAGTCGCACAGCAACAACCACAGCAAATCACCAACAATGCAATCGAACACAACAGTAATGGCAACACTAAAGATATGGACGCCGATAGCTCATCGCATTCGAACGGTTATATTGGCGATACCGATAACGCCGCCGTGCTGCCATACGATGAGCACGACGACGAGCATGATCAGTCAGTCGAAGCGTTAAATAAACACACAGAGTTCGTTTTCAACTGGCACTCCGATAACAGCGACATTAGCCTGATTGAACCGATACACAAGCCCGATCTGAGCATGCTCACCATGGCCGTTGCCGACATGCAGAAACCCTTCTTCTTCGGCCTGCTCTCGGGCACTATTATGCTGGTGTGCGTGGTGCTCGCGTACCGCTGCTTACTGCGGCGTCAGCGCTTAGCGTATGAGAAGTCCATGCTAATCACCGATGATGCCGCGCACGCGGTCGTTTCGGTGCCGCCCGCCGAAGTGGCCATGCGTTTTGCCAACAATAAGGCGGCGACACGAAAAGCCATGGAGGGCGGTAGGCATGGCTGCGGCGCCACCGTGGGTGGCCGTGCTGGCGTTGGCGCTGGCGGCGCTTTGGGCGCGACGTCGCTGGCCTATCAGCGCAGCGATGAGGAGGAGGAGTATGAGCGCGGCGCGCAAGAGGTGTGTAGTAATCCGGCGATCTGCTCGAGAAACGCGCTCAAAGTGTAAGTGCGTGCATGTGCGTATGCGCGTGAGTTAGTCAGCCGGCGAGAGATGTGGTGGTAAGCCGTAGCGTAGAAGTGAGATGTATCGATTGAGATTAAAACAGGAATTTATGTTACACACACACTACATAAAAGCAAATTAAAAATTTTAAGTAAATAAGCTTATTCCGTAGGCATGCAAAGGCAAAAACAAGATTACAAAATACTTATATAAATATCGTTAGTTTTGTAAGTGGCATTAAATTAGTACTACGACTACTGTAATACAAGTATGTATAAATTAGGCGACTAGTTGCTGTGTGTTGCCGGTAAACTAAGGTGATTTACAAATATGTAGATGTTGTCGTTTCGTGCCGCATTTGTGTCAACTACATACTTTTCGCTAGACATAACCTATATTTAAGTCAGCATATTTACCTAGAATATGAACAAACAAACAAGCAAATACAAATGCAACTGTGTAGTATAAATGCGAGTGCAGTCACACTCGTGCGCATTATATTAGCATTTAGACTAAAAATCAATATTCATTCTAAATAAGCGTGTGTTGCAAATTACGTATTTATGTGATGCCAAGTTAAAGCTCTGCCTACACAGTCGGGGCACTCACACTACATACATATATACAGTAAATATATATATATATATATATAGGTGAGGTTAAATAGAGTTTAGTGTAATATGCGAAATTCCATAATTCATTATTTACAGTCGGTTGATTGCATTCGTTTGCGTTTGCATTTGTTGCAATTAAACAGTTATGCGAGCGCTGCTTGGTTTGTGTGCTTGTATGCCTGTGCATGTATGTGTACAAAAGTGTGCATGTGTGTGTGTGTGTGTGCGTGTGATAATTTGAGTGCGCTTGTGCAAGTTTAATTACTAGAAATTTCAACTGACAGCTGGGCGAATATGTTATAAGTATGTGTATATATGCATGCAACATGCACAGTTATACAGTATAGGTTTTGCGTGCTTTCAAGTTGAAGCTTAAATTGTATAAAGCAAATCATATAAATGCCGTTATATTATGTTAATTGCTATAAACTTTGTATGCCAGCAGTTGACGTTTAAATCATTGATTTTATTTCAATCGAATCAGTTTGAGAGATTCGGTACTTTTGTAGAACATGTGGACTCTGCTTGGAAATTTTGAGTCTCTTTTATATAAATATATTGAACATTAAATACCCTATTAGCATAAAATATGCTCAGTGAATTGGTTACTATGAACAGTATCAGAGATGTAGACGCTCGAAGCTTCAGTAGCACATGAAGTACCATTTTGAAGCTCTTTTTTGTGAACTTCTTTATCTGTAGCGTATGACGCACTGTCCGTACTCTTTACCTATTTAGAAGGTATTTTTTTATAAACGATAGTTTAATTCATACATATAAAAAGCGGTTGAATGCTCTTTACCGTTAGTAGATAATCAAAACTCTTTCAAAAAAAGGTCTTCCAAATTTTTTGTAGCTCAAAAGAGTCCTAAACAACATAAGAAATTGCGCCAATTTTTACATATTAAAATTCGAAAATTCGCAGATCTTCATGTTTATTTAAAGTAAAATAGTTTAGTTCTTAACAAAGTTGAGTAAAAATTATTGGGATACCATAATCCCTATATCCATAAATTGCACTTGACAAGTTGGTTTAGAATTTAAATCCGCGGTGATTTTTTTTAACGATATTTTTGTCGTCCTTTAAGAGAATAAAGTAAAATGTATGAAAAAATTAATTGTGAATAAAATTAAATTTCGAAAAAATTTTTTTAATACAAAATTAAAAATAAAATATTTTTTAAACCCTTTTAACGTCAACTGCGCATATGTCAAAATAGTTTTATATATAAAAATTCAGAAAATAAAAATAAAGACATAAATATAACTTAAAATACAAAAAGAAAATCAAAAATATAATTGAACATAAATTAAACTAATGATGTAGTGGTAAACTTAATTGCTCAATTTGCAGTTAGCTATGTATGTGCTTTGCTTTTACTTAAAGTTTGACTTCGGCTTGTTGCTACTTTAGAGAATATGCCACGCAATTCAAAATTTTGTATAAAAAAATTAAATTGTATAAATGTTGAAACCCCCTTTACTTGCCCCCATGAAAAACCACACATTGACACTTCCTTCCAAGCACGTCCCAAAGCACACACCCACCTTCATTTATCAGTGTTGTAACTTTTTCCAAAAACACAACAATTGAAAGCTACCAAAACCAAAATAAAACGAAAAAAGAAAGAAAAGCTCTGCATTTGAAGAAAACGAAAAAAGTTTATTAATTTTTGTGTTATTCTAGAAAGACGCATAATCAAAACTAAGCAAATTTTTTAGTGAAAATATTAAGGAAGAGAAGGAAGGAAAGGAATTAACAGCAAACACTTTTTGATATGTGTGTATTGGTGTGCAAAGACTTAGATATTAATAACAAAAACACTTGTTTACAGTTTGTGTGCTTTACCAAGCGGGGCTTATTTAAGGTGGGCATGCGGTGGCGCTGCAAAGGGTGTTGACGTATAGTTGGTTGGGCTGGAATATTAACAGCATGTCACGCCGTATGAGTAACATTTTGAAACGTTGCTTTGAATTTCTCAAAATTTTACACGAATTTCATGTTCAAGCAATTATTTGCAGAATTCCGTTATATGCCTTTCAAGCTGCAAGCCACCGCTGTCTGCTCTCAAACACACCACCAATTTATACATACAAACAACACAAACAAACACACATTTTGGCATGAATCTCAAAACTTTAGGCAAATAAATTATAAGACTAAAAATACAAAAAGGAAAAATTATTGAAACAAAATTCAAAATTAACCGTAATTGTATTAGAAGAAATTAAAAAAAAAAAATTTAACAAATTAAAAATACATAAGTACGCGTATATTTGTACATTAAAATGAATGTGTAAAATTGATGTGAATTTGTGTTTCCGCTAGTGCAAAAAACACAACACCGACAAAAACAACAACAACAATGAACCAAAAACACTTAAAATGGAAAAATAACGAGCAACAACAACTGCAATGCTACCGCTGCGCCAGTGTTGCATGTTTTTTGCAAAGCAACCACGTAAACACAAATCAACAACAAAATTTAAGCAAAAATCAAAATGAGTAAAAAAATACGAAAACAACAACAAATGAGCACGTCGATATTCCTTATTAAAAACAAACAAACAAACAACAATTGTATGTATGTAATGTGTGAATAAAGCGACGAAGCACTTTCCACACAAACCACTAAAGAGCTGAGGAAAATATTCTTTCGGACTTTTTTGTTGGTGTGCGGTGCGGAAAATGCGGACAACGCTGCTTAGTTAATTTTTCTAGATGCTATGATTTCGCTTTAAATGCCATTGCTTTTTATGTGTAATTCATTTTCTCCTGTAATGTGTATAGAAGAAAATTAGAAAAGAATTTAATTAATTAGTGAACAGTAATTAATCAAATATTTCGGCTAAATAAGACAAAATTTTTCATATGAAGCGTATCTGAAAAAAAATTAATAAAAAAAGCTTAAAATGCAGTTAGCGAGCCAAAAAAAATATCATCAAAACATATAAAACTATAAAATCTAATCAAAAAGTCGGCCAATTAATGAATAAATCTGCAACAAAAAAATTAACCCCTGTCGCTTCCATTTATCTGTAACAATGACATTGCGGCAAGCAGTTGTGTGGAAGTAGAATAAAAAGGCTTTAATAGTTTAGTCAATTAATTAATTGCGCAGTTTTCTAATTGTATAAATTAGTTCCTTAATTTAGACAATTAATTAATTTCCAATTTACTAATTGACCTAGTGAGTTTCTTAATTGAGTCAATTACTTAATTGCACAGTTTACTAATTGACTAAATAAGTAACTTAATTTAGTAAATTAGATAGTTGCACAATTTATAATTGACTCAATTAATTCATTGCACAATTTATTAATTGACTAAATTTAGATACTGACTGTAAACGCCACATATTATCTAGTTCCAGAATACAAAGTGACACTATGCTAAAACAAATTAAGTCAACTTAAACAATGAGAGAGTCTAAATTGTTGCTAAGTAATTTATTCGTGCTATAACTTAAAATTGGATGCATTAAAGCTTCAGGAAATGGAGACAAAAGTTATCAATAGTTTTAATCAAGAACTCAAAGCATTCACTTTATATTAAGCCGAAATAAGCTACTTTAAAATATTACCATAATTATTGCTAATTTTTTTTCCACTTAAAGATCCTTACGATTTATCCACCAACTGTTTGCCAGCAATGATCATGATTCAACAAAAAAATGCACAAACACAAATGACCCAAACCACAAATTCACTGCACTACCAGATCCCCAAGAACTTCACAAGTCCTTACCGCCAGAGAATGTATATACAAGCTGAATGAAAGTAAGATATGAAACATGAATTGATTGAAGTGCAAATGTGCTGCGTAGCAACATTTCTATGCGTTATGCTGCAAACGTAAGCAGGATTGAAGGATTAGCATTGCCACGAGGCTTTCATTTAAATAATGCCAGCGTTCGTGCGATCTTTTAGGCGAAACATACAAACAAGTAGACAATTTTACATTTGTATATAATATATTGTTTTCAGCCATGCAACTCACTTGAAAATCATACAAATTTCTGCGTTCAACCATTTTCGCATAGATTCGCTATGCCTTATAGCAAAATTATTATCTCTTTGTATTCGTGTAGGTACATATATAGAGCTTACAGGCATATAAAGAAACAGCATTAATTATATTAATATAAAGGCATACGAATGCATTAATTCAGACACATACATACAGACTCATACAATTTATTCAGCCAAACAATCAACTCTGCGTTCAATCATTGCATATTCAAGCAGCTATTTGTATGTGTGTCTATATGTGTATGCGTTTGCGCTTCAACGGTATTTAAACGCTCATTCATACAGCAAATCCGTGTGCAATTCAATATATGTATATATCTATATATTTGTATGTGTGCGCATACTTAAACCCTGCTTGTAATGCACACATACAAATATTCAATCATTTAATCAATTATTCAAGATATTCACTCACATTGCCATTGACATTTAATAATTCACTTAGGTGCAGTCGCATTGAGTACTCATATGTCATAGCGTGCAATAATCAACACATTCATTCAAGCAATTCATCTCAGATAGCAAGTAGATAGCATTAACAGTAGGATAATCGTATGAATACAGGCATACTTCAGAACTATTACCACTACATAAAGCATAATCATAGATATCGACTACGCATACGAGTGTATATGTGTGTATATTAAACTATATATGTACATACTCACATACAATATTGGATAAGCAGGCATATGTTTGGGAAAATATATAGTATGTGGTGACATACTTACAAGTATATACCGTTACATACTTTATACCGATGCAACAAAATAGTACGTAGAATGTTAATACAATATATGTGTGCTACACACACGACTACAAGTGAACATATATACATACATATAAGTAAATTTTCAAAGGTTATTGAGCAGCCATTTTTCAAATAGCTACAGACAACACAGGCAAACTGACGCCAATCACACAAACTAACTTACAAATATGCAATAGAAAATGAGTTAAAATGTAGCAAGTGGTCAGTGAGGTTAGTGCCGAGGATATACATAATTATAACTACTCGCATTAATTTTCTAATTGATTAATTTTAAGTGACACCTAAAGCAAGGAAACAATACATCAACTTAAGCGGTATTGTATATGCGCAATTAACTTTAGCATATATTTAGGCGCCACGCAGTCTTTTCGTTCAACACTTGGTTTACTTCTCAAACGGTTTGTGAATAAACAGTTTTTCGCTAAAATACTCAATGTAACGCGCAACGTTTATTATTAACAGCATGTTTTAGAAATTAGGTTTTGTAATAATCAAATATAAAAAAAACTTTATGTATTATTTTACAGTTCTTCGTAATTCATGCGGTGACTAAGCAAATATCAATCAAAACGCACTTGCCTTCAAGGCAATTGCAAGAAGACAAACTCAAGATTTGCTTTCAAAGTTACAATTTTTATAACAATAGTAAATTCCTTTACAATTTGAAATCAGTAAGAGAAGTCAAGTCCAGTTGATTATTACATTAACGTATACATCCTCTAGTCTTTTTTTTTCTAAATAACTAAAAAAGAAATTCTATTTTTTATGAAGGAAGTTTATTGAATCTACAACCGTCATAATTTTCGGGTGTTTTAGTTAAGTTTAAGAATATAAAAATTCCAGAATCTTTGTTGTCAAAAAATCGTTTTTGAATAACCAAGCTTTTGCTTGAATCGCTAGTATTTCGAGAATTCTATATTTTCTGAACCAAGAGAAGTAGAATTTGCCGTAGGAACTGGTTCTATGAGAACGTATAACGCCTGCACATCTCAAAACCTGCTAAAAATATAATAATTATGAGCTACCAAAAAGTTTAAAGCTTCTATATTTAGATCAATTGCAAATTCTATTTGGTTCCTTAGAGAATGTGACTATAATCAGGTGGATTAAAGTATACTACTTATTTGGTAGAATCATTTTGCAGTTAGAATACAAGTATAACCTCAAAAACCGCAAAAGAGTTAGATTTGCGCCCCAAGTTATTATTGTCATATATTTCTATTATAATTAATTATCAGAGTAATTTCATTCGTTTGAGACCTAATGTTATAATTCTCATAAGGTCTCTCTCTCGCTCTCATACTTTGCTGCCCATTTGCTACATTCCATACACAAATTCAGCTCAACTTACGAAACAGTCAATACAAAGTGAGATATTTTACTAATAATTATAAGAAATAGATCTACAGCGCCAACACACATAATTACTAAATGCTAACTACAATAATTTGCAATAAAATTGTACTGTAGCTAAATACTATTTAGATGATAAGCCAAACAAAAGTGTATTTACATACTTAAATACCGCATAAATAACTAAACTATTAAGGCAAAACTTGCAAGGATTTCAGTTTAGTAGGCTAAATTAACTGAAATCCATAAATAAGACTGTAAATACTAATTTTATATCTCCAAACATAAATAACTAAGAACTTACTAAATTAATAAATAACTAAATAAACGACTTTAATTACAAACGGCAAACAAATATGAAATGCTTACCTTGTAGTGCGTGGGGTCGGGGGTCAAATGCAGCTCTGTATTATTTGCTTAAAGTGTGCAGTGCGAGAAGCTGATATTGGAAATGCAAATGCGAGCGGTGAAAATTTAATCACTTGCCACGCGCACACTACCTTAGTGTTGAAAGTTTCACACACACACACACACACACACATCGATAAGCTGAAAGACGCACGTGTGGCTGCCGTTGCGCTGAAGGATATTAAATGTCACTCAAGCAAACGGGCGCACTAGCATGTGGCAAGCGCTGCCTGTGTACGTGTGTGTGTGGCAAGTGCTTCCAGTGGCGCAACAAATAATGCAAATTCTTGATGTATGTGTGCAGATTGCGCCTAATTGCAAACGCATTAAATCCGTGACATATTTTGTAGCCGAAATACATATTCGAAAGAAGCACACCGAAATTACAGCATAAATATCGTAAATATCCGTTTATAATGCATTAGCCAACTGCTACGTGCGTGTGTATGTGTGTGTGATGGCTTTAGGCTGCAACTACAACAAATTGAGTCAATATAATTACCAACACACACACACGCAAGCAAGCGCTGCACACTAATGCATAGGCAAACAGAAAATATTTTATATCACATGCACGAATGTGTGTGTGTGTGTGTGTGAGTAAATTAATAAACATCAGCGCGTTGAGCATAAGCGGCATAAAGAGTGTGTAAGCTCCATTGTTTTTGGCTAATCGGCAAATAATCAGAAAATTTCATTTTAAATGCAGTTGGCAGAGCACACACAAACGCACGCACACACACACACACAATTATAAGTGACAGCTGAGTGTGCGTGTGCGCCAAGAGAACACCATTATGTAATTAATTACTAATTATTGTTGTAAAAAATAAAATATTTTCAATTAAAATTAAATATAAATTATATTTGTTGCGCTAATTCTAATGTTGTGTGCGTGTGTGTGTGTGACTATAGCAAAAAAATTAATTCAAAATAAATAATTTTGAAAATACTTCAACGAAAAAACATATTTTCATAAATAAAAGCCAATTAATATTGTCAATAAATCAATTATTTAGTTGCTTAAATTGGTAATTGATTTATTTTTTGATTTTAATGTTTACTTCCGGTCCCGTTGCATACATAATCCGTTCGACAATTGCAACAGCTTGAGGCACACACCCACGCACACAACTTTGATTGGCACACAATTGATGTTTAATCAAAAAAATATAGAATATCAAAGTTTAATTCCTCCAAACACCTTTGTATAATATCTCAGTAGCAAGTAATGTAATTATACTCAATCTAATTAGCGTGTTTTTTTCTAGATTTAAAAGTACTAAATAAACTAAAAATACAATGTGTAATTTGCAAGCAAACAAAACCGGTTTTTGAAGTCATTGATAAGCTAAGTTTTTTTCGAAAAATTACAATCTTAATTGGCATAAATATAAATATAATAAAATATCAATAAAATACAATATAATTATAACTAACGGTACGCATTAAGATTGTCTAAAACTAATGTGAAAGCAGCAACTATAGAGAGTTGAAGAGTAGCACTCCGCAGCGATATTCCATATTAACTACCAGTAACTACAACTACAACAAAGCAAAAACAAATCAGCAGAAGCGCATGTGTAGTGTAGAAATCTGAGAATCGCTTAAATGCATGTAAAAATTAAATAAAGTACAGTATAGTTTTATTAGAGAGGAGAAGAGTGCAGTGGTGCAGCGAGAATTCGTAAATGTACTAAAGCTAAGTATCAATATTTATTTAATTAAATATTAAATTTTAATAAAAATAAACTGAACTAAACTAAACTAACTAACAAACTAAGCAAACAAATAAAGTGGAATTTCAAATTTAAAATACAAAAATCGCATAAAGTCTTATTTTTAATAGGGTGTTCTTGCGGAAAATTTGGGTAAGTACGCGTATATGCCTATGCCATAAGTAGTAGTGGAAGTATAAATTCCGACACTCGTATGCTCAAGATTCCACAACAACATATATTTTACCTTTTATACGCTCAGTAAGTTTTCTTGAAAACGATAAAATCTTGGAGTTTTTTTTTCACAATCTATGACTTGAGTTACAAATTTAGAACTGCAGAGCAAAAAAAAAAGCTCTTAAGCAACATAAAAATGAATACATTTTCTCGAAACCACAGTTTTGTTAGAAAAAAGTTATGATGTTAGCAGATAATCTTGATTGTACTTGGAGAGCGACTTCTCATGATCTCTTAGGAATGTGATCAAAAGCTTTAAGTCATACCGATTTGTGCAAGAAAACATCGAAAAACAACAAACAACTATTTGGGTTTTCTAAGCAGATCTACTGAACTATTTGCGCAGAGCAAAGTTCATCTTGCAGCAATCGTAGAAGTTCTTACTGGACACTGTCCAATAGACATTCATGCGGTAAGGCTAAAAATCTTGTCGAACTCTAGTTGTCAAAGTTGTATGGAGAAGGGTGGGTTGAAAACATCCAGGCACTTTCTCCTCCATTGTCCAGCCTTTGCAAGACTGAGGCTGAAACATCTCTTTAATCTTACCTTCGGCGAACCAGAAGACATAGCCGAAATTGACATTAGCTGTTTGTGATAGGTTGTGAGGGTCTTAGGATCCAGTATAAAGGAGTTATTTTTTTATTGAGAGTCTTATGATCCAGTATATTGGTGTTTTTTTTTTTTTGATGCCACAACAAACCGGCGTTCTCAGCTGCCCAAGTGAGATTCCCCTTAGGAGCAACCTCTGAACCTAACCTCACCTAGTATCTACGAGAAAAGGTTCACAACAGCTCCAGAGTTCCCCAAAAGTCGTAGATAAGTGATCTAATAAATATAAAGGAAATTAACGAAGAGCAATTGTTTTATTATAGGTCTTATCATTTGCGAAAAAAACACGATTTCGTAGGCGATTTTTATCTTCTTTAGTCCGAACGTTGGGATGTTACGAACACTATTTTTGCGCGCTCAAATCTTATGAAGGATATCGATAATTCTTATTCGGATATCCAATCACTCTTTCACTAATATCTTAATTTTTGAAACTGCTCTCATTAAGTTTGTGTATTGAAGTAACACCTATAATAGAAAATTATTTTGCTTGCATATCTATACAATTTAAATAGAAATCTACTTAGAAATTTAACATGCAACTAAGTGCATAACCATACAAAGTTTTCAAGTTCACTACCCACTTCTGAAGTTCAACATCCTTAGAATCCTTTAAAAAAATACTGCTATCAAATAAAAGCTTAAGCTAAAGCTTTAACAGCACTTTCAACAGTTATGGTACTTACGGCGCAAGTGTGTAGTCTGCATAAATGTTTGCAGCATTATGCACCTAATCGCATAAGTGTGTGTGTACACGCGCTCATAAGAAGACACTCCTGTCGGGGCGTTAAAAAATCAACGAGCAACTAGCCATTCAACCACAACTACAACTGTAATTACTTCCGTTAAAAAAATGTTTAGTGGCACTTAAAAATCACTTACTTAATACGCTGGCCAGCCGGAGTCGGCAATGGCGGAGCACAAAAATACAAAAAAGCAAAAAAAAAAAAAAATACAACAAAAGCAAAAACTAAAACTGAAATACTTGTAAAATCATTTTCAATTATGTGAAATAAATTCAAGCATACTCTGGCGCAATTGCTCGCTTGGTTTAACCATTGTGCTCACACTTAAGTGCATTCACACACATATAATACATAGGAACATATGTGCACGTATGAGGCATAAGGAAAAGTGCAAATATTAAATTTATATGTGTGTACATATATAATGTGCATTTATAACGGTTATATTATGAAATTTGCCTGAAAACAGAGTTTTATTCTATTTTAAGTTCGTGCTGAAGGGTGCGACCGTAATGGGTGGAATTAAGTTCACTTCAGGAATGAGTGTTCATTAAGTTTTATATGTATGCAAGTAGCTGTAGTCATGCACATGTTCATTTTATGACTATTGACTAAATTTTTTACTACCACATAGCTGTATGAATCATACACAATTGCAGTGAAACAGAAAAAATATGCTTTAGATCGGAAACCGAATATATAAATAAATACAAGTGAGCAATGTTGTTTTCTGAATGTCAGAAGTATAGTACATATAGATCTCCTCACTAAACACTGATTAGGATATATTAAGTTTGCCACGAAGTTTGTAATACTAACCATCGAAGACCCTATAAATATATTTATATGTAAATGATCAGCATGACAAGCGAGTCGATTTAGCCATATCCGTCTTTCTGTATATATGCGAACTAGTCACTGTAGCCATAGCTGCCTAAACTAGTTGATCAATGTGAAGTACTTGTAAGGAAAACATTTTTTTTTTAAGAGATTATCAGAAATTTGGCATAGATTATTATCCTAGGCAACGGCACAATCTCCGAAAAAATTATTCCTATCAGACCACTATAGCCAAGCTGCCAAGCAAACCGACCGATCAATATGAAGTTTTGTGAATGGTATAAAAGCTACGGTTTGACGTAGTAAACGATTTTTTTTTTGCTTTTCTCAATTTTTTGATAAAAAAGCATACATTATAAATAAGGAAAAAAGCTCGACTCCAAACAGAATTGTGCGTTGGGTACAAAGAGTAGATTACCACCCAAGCTTTAAACTATATTTTCGTCTATTTTTTATTTACTTGTCAGCTAATATTTATGCTTTATAAATATATTTGTGCATACATTTTTTATGGTTTATGTTAGTGTGTATGTACACATATATATATAACTCGTAGTGGGTTAGTTGCGAGTGTTGACACGTCATGTTCACGTTTACGTCTGAAATGTCCATTTAACGAGACTTCTGTGCGTGCTTAATGCTCATGTCGCGACTTACACTACGCTTGTATATACATACTTACACATATACATACATACGTACGTGTAAAAATATGAATATGCACCGAAATGCTGCACGTGAACGTGTGCAGCTCAACCGCGACACATTTTGGACAGGCCAGGCACAACAACGAAATTTACATATCACTCAAGCCTCCACGATCGCATGAAAACATAAACATACTATAAATTAAATATGCAGCAACGTAACTAATACTTATACATAGGCAAGTACATATACACACACACACATACAAATATGCGATTAGTCATAGCAGCCTATTTTTTTTCTTTTTTTAACTCAAACAGTTTGTCTGAATATTTTTATTTTTATTGAAGGCATAACACTTATGAATATGAAGTGTGAATGTATTTAGCACATAACGTGGTTAAGAAAAAAAAACAAACAAAAGGTGTTGCAAAAAATTTATGACACACTTGGACACGATAAACTAGTGGCCTCAGCGCAGCCGGCCTCACACCATTGAAGCGTGCCACAGAAGTACAAGTAATTCGCTGAAGTCGAAAAATGTATGTTGTTGTAGACTTGTTGGCTTCTCCTAATAAATTTTGAAAACTGAAGAGCAGCTTTAGACACATCTAGCGTAGTTAACTGTATAAAAAGAGATACTTAATTGGCAGGATTGTAGATCAACTCATGCTCAGTAATTGGAGCATTATTTCTAATCCGCAAACTCTTCAAATAAGTAACTGTATTAAGCGCACACAACCGAATTCCTTATAAACACCGACTGGCTTGTCCAGCCGCAGCAGCACAAAAGCCTAATTATCAAAATGCGCCCATGCCAGCAAGTAAAAGCGGTTAACAAAAGCCCAATTTGACAACACAAGAACAAAATGCGTAAGAGACCCTCACAAAGAAAAAGGTGAGCATATAAAGTGCGAAAATGCCGTTAACCGTACTTGCCACGCCCCAAACTTTCGCACAAAAAACGACGAAGAGTGGCGACAAAACATATAAAGACATTCATTAGAACCATTTGTCATGAGCGAAGGAAAAAAATGTATAAAGAAGATGAGAACTAAAAAAAAAAAGTGGGGCGAATCATGACCATCAGCAAAATAACTGTAGAATTGTCAATACTAGCTGTCTGAGTAGCTGCTTGATTGTGTCTATTAGACTTCAGCGTTTTCTCTGAATGAGCACGGACATTGATGTAGGTGAAATGTCACTTTGCGTTATAGTTCGTAAACTGTCACTGAGCAGAAAAGGTAAAAGCAAAAAAGGGTTGTCAAATAGTGAACTGGATAACAGATAATTAGTCTATCAAAATAAATAAGTGATAACACTTTATAGAGGTTAGGTGGATAAAAGTATATAATGGAGTGAATTAAAAATCATAATTAACAGTAAGATGATCAGGAAATATAATAGAGTACAAATGAGAGTACAGTTATATGGTGAGCTGTCAACTGTTGTCGTAATGTTGGAGAGCAGCGAATCTTATGAGCCACATCAACTATTTAAACACTTATGCCAAAACCTTGCGCTCGCTTCTCTAAAATAGTTGAAAAGAACCGCGTTCGAACGCTGCGAAAGTACTGAAGGCGAAAGCTATAGATAATAGCGTAAAAGCAGCGAACAATATTTGAGATAATAAATAATAAAAGAGTTCAATACTGTCGTATACAAGGTCAATGGTGCATGATAATATAGATTAGATGGATTAAATACAAAATATATAAGCAGGATATTTTTATTGCGCTCGAATAGACAGCACTGACTACTACAATATTTGATTTCATTTTCGTGCACTACCTACCTCCAAATAGATCACGTGAGCTAACAGCGAT